TTTTTTTTTTAACACACCCCCCGGGTGATGCTAGCGGTGCTGGTATCGGCAGCCACCGCTAACACTCCCAGGGAGGCTCCATCTATTGGTGGGGAGCAGCACCTGCTGGAAACCGCGTTCAGCGTCCCTTACATTGGAAAAGGAAAGGAATCATGAGAAAGCGTGCTGAAAACCGGGTCCAGCGTCCCATCACCAGCTATCCTGATTTTTCCAAAAACAGGACCTTGGGTTGGGGTCTAGCAGGGCGCACTGGGGGGCACCACCTTCCAGATCACACTATGACACTATCCTTGAGAATTGTCTGCGACATTGTTTAGACCTTGAGAATGTCTAAGAAAATGTCTGAAAAAATATTTGGACAATTGTCTAAAGAGACTGAAAAGTATGAGAACCAATCCTCGTAAAACAGGGAAAACGGCTGAAAAAAATTGAGAAGAAAAACCATTAGGATTTGTGCTTTTTAAAAAAACAAATGGGGCCGGACTCAGCGTCCCTTGTTTAAGGAAAACACTTGGAAACCCACACTTCTGATCGGGCTCAACATCCCGTACTTTTGTGCGACTCAAACGTCCCCTTGGAGAATTTCCACAAGTGATACCGAGTGGGGGGGAAAGGGGTCCGGGAACTCTGCTGCTGATCTCAGGGGGATGCTGGGGTCTATCTCAGTCCAGTTCCGAAAGGTAAGTTGTAATCTATGGGTATCTCTCCCCCTGCTGCATCTGCCTCCTCAAGCTGGTTGTCCCCCGACCAAGATGCCCATGCTATCCAACCCCCCCTGCTTCCTCCCAACCAGTTTCCACAGAAAATAGTAATTATGTTGGAAATATCCTTTTTTGTGTGCAGGGAACTCATTTGCTGTTTGGCTGCCTGCCACTGGTTAGTGATTTCTGCATTAATTAGTTGTCTGACCATGTCAGCTACCTCCCCCTCCACTACCCGTGCGCCCTCAATTTCCTAGATGCACCTTCTTCACCAATCACCCACAGGATAGTTCGTCTGCCCACCCTAAAGAGGTTCCGGGTCAGTGGATCATCCGGACATTGTGGCCAGTGGCCTGTCAGTAGTGCTCTCCAGTCCCATGGCCAGCTAGTGTCGGGGACTATCTGTCGCCATATCCTATCCCACCACCGCCACAGCAGTACGGATGACGGACATTGTAAGAAGAGGTGTTTGATAGTCTCGATTCTTTTCCGAGGGGGGGTAGCTTTGTAGGCATTTTGTGCACAAAGGCAAAGACCGTCCTTGTTGTTCTAGCCTAGTGTGGTCGATCAACCAATCGTTGGTCGGGAAACATCGGTGGGCAACCTGCCACTGCGGTGATGAGATCTTGGCCGGACGTAGTGTGGTTTCGCAAAACCATCTGACTGGGCGCAGGATACTCTGATCAATGTTAAGATGTCGCTGCTACCTGTCGCATATCGTATCTCTCTGTTCCTTTTTTGGTCTCAGCATGCGGTAGGCTGTTTTGGCCTTCATATCTACGAGGTTTAATGGTTTTTGTGTGTTTCTTGCTCTCCTCCCCCCCCGTTTCCACTGCCATTCTATTGGGTCGGAAGCCGAGTCTGCTATTGGCGTCATTGGCCTGAAGGCTCTCTTTTCCTCCCCGACCTGTATAACTCTAATGCGGTATACCTTTACTTTGGGGATCTAGGAGAAGGGTTGCCTACTCCTTATCAGGGCTTCCTCTCTCCCCAACCGATATTTTTCAATCAGCACCTCGTTGTTTCCCACCATGTGCACCATCCCAATCATGCCAAGGTCCTGAGGGAATCCCACCCAGTCTCCTTTCTTCAAAATAGGGCCCTTTTTTAGAATAGGGTACCACGCCACCGGGAAGCTTTCAATCAATTCCTCCAGCAGTTCCTCCGTGTGATGACAGTACCATAGCCATTTCCTCATTCTTTCTGCGCTTTTCCACTCTCCTGCCTCTGCGTCCCACAGGTCCCCTACCCTTAGTGCCCCATGCTTGACCCACCCTCTCCATGGTGAGTCCGAGCTGCATCTAACCCGTCCGTGGCCATCTGTGATCCATCTGTTTCCAAAAAGAAGCTGCCTGACAATCTCTTCCCACCGATCAGGGGGTGGCCTGTTTGGGATTGACAACTTCCTCCATGTTTTGAAGAGGCACACCCAGAGCTCTTTCGCGACTCCCCCGTCTTTACAAAGCCGGGGAATTTTCCAGTACCTATCCTCAATCCATATTGTGGGGTCTATTTCGGGTGGGGCCTCATGAGCCAGGGTTGCAATCTGCATCAGTGCTAGCGGGCGCCAATGAGAGGTTGGGTTAAAAATTACAGTTTTTAACCAGCGCAGGCTGAGCGCCTGAAACTGCGTGGTTGGGTCTACGATGCCCAACCCTCATTTGGATTTGGGTTGGATTATCAAATCCCATGCTACTCTGCTAATTGCATGGGGGATTCGCTGTTTTCTCTCCAGAGAAAGATTGCGGTTTGTCTTTTTAGAGCACGAAGTCCTGTGTTGCTCAGGGGCCAGAGGATTGACTTGTACCATAGGGATGCCAGGACCACATTGTTGATGACTAAAGCTCGCCCAAAAATCGAGGTGTGCATCCCATTCCAATTTTGAAGTTTGGCCCTAGTTGGGGCAGCTATCCAATCGTCATTGGATTCAGTCTTCCTTTTTGTTGACAGGGATGCACCCAAGACTCGCAGGGGGGCATCAGGGGGTAGCCATGAGATTCGTGGTTTTTCAGGGGGCCTACCTCCTTGGTGGTGAAACCACCATCCCGCCGTTTTTTTGCCCCAGTTCACTGTCATATCTGATAGTTGGCAAAACCTATCCATCAAGGTTAAGATATCCTCCAGACTCTATTCACTTGCTTTTGTTATAATTGTCAGATCGTCGGCGAAGAGGGAGCATATCGGGACCGCCTCCTCCGGGATACCAGTTATCTCAACCCGTTTTATATCCTTGTTACATCGCAAGTTGGCGGATAAGGCTTCCATTATAATGAGGAAAATGTAAGGAGCAATCGGGTCTCCTTGCCTGACTGATCGCCGCAATGGGAAGGGAGGGGCCACCATACCATTGACTTGGACACAGGTGGTGGCATTTTTATGCAGGATATTTATCCATCTGCGAAAGCCGGGACCAAAATTTATTTTTTCCATGCACTTGTCTAAAAATTGTCAGTCAACGCGGTCATAGGCTTTTTCGAAGTCAATGAAGATGATAGCTGCGTTCCGCTTCTGGCGCTTGGCTAGACAGACCATCTCATTAACTAGCAGGATGTTTTCTTGGATATTTCTATTGCGCAAAAAACCAGTTTGAGCCGGATGTATCTCATCCTCTAAGACTTTTGCCATTCGGTTTGCCAGGGTTTTGACGAACAATTTGTTGACGACTGTAAGGAGGGTGATGGACCTATAATTCTTGATGTTCATCTTGTCTCCTTTTTTTATAGAGGAGCGTCAGGATTCCTTGGCCCACTACCTCCCCAATGTCCCCTTCCTCCCATACCTTTTGATAGTAGCTTCACAAGTCTGTACTCAGGATGGGCCACAAGGTTTTCCAGAATTCCTTCGGGAAGCCGTCAATGCCAGGGGTCTTTCCTTCCTCCATCTGGAGCAGCGCCATCCAGATTTCATTCTTGGTGAGTGGTGCATCCAGACTTTTCTTTTTGTTTTGCCGTTAGCGTTTTGTTCAAGGGTTTCAGGAAATCGTCCAGATCCCTCAACCTGACATTATCCTGAGGGTCTTCGATCTGGGATGTGTAGAGATTTGGGAAAAGGATCTAGTTATCCGTGTACAATGGGCTGTTGAAATGGCTAAATTATCCTCTCCCCCTACTGGGTCAAAGAGGGCCTCGATCACCGAACGCCCAATCCGTGTTGTGGCCATACTGAAAAAGCGGGTGTCCATAGCGGCTTCTATATTTAGCTTGGAAAGTTTGCTACGCACTCTAAGTCCTTGCCACCTGTGTTGAACACACTGCAGCAGTTGTTGTTTAAGCTGTTCAATGTTAGTCCATAGTTCTTGTGAATTGGCCCGCGATTCTACCTGTTGTTCCAGGTTGTGGAGTTCACTATGTAGTTCCCTTTCATGGTAGTTTTCTTTGTGCAGCTCTTTCTTTTGAGAATTCCTTGCACTTCCTCGCGAGGTAGAGGAGACCATTGTTGAACCATGTCAAAGAGGAGTCAAAACGGGTTTTTTGCTGCTGCCAAAAGGACCAAAGTGCTTGTCCTCAAATGGTGCGTCGAGAAAACGGGCCGCGCCCGCATCTTCCCCGTCACAAATCCCTTCTCTTGACCCTCTGCCTCCGGAAAACCGCTAAATCTCTGCCACAACGACAGGTCGCCTCCTGACGACCGATGGACGCATCAAGGGGTTACTAGAACCGCAGCCTCAGGGCTGCGAATTATCGGACGGCTATATGTTCTTCCCCTTACCCTACGATCAATCTGACCGTCCACGCACAAGTACAAGCCGCTTTTATTTTTTTATTACGATGGAGTGTAAGGGCGAGATCCCACTAGCCCCTATTGTTCATTTCTGACCGTTGATCTTCGTAATCGAGGGTGAAAAATGAATAATCCAGGGTAGTCGGATCCGACCCTTAGTTTCTTTGCGGAGAACGACTCAACAGCGCCCGGCCCAGCCCCAGCCCCGGCCCAAGCTCTCCCGCCAAGGTGGCGAACACTGCTTTCCACACAGACTGCCGGCCGGCTTCACGGGCCCAAACCTAGCTTTGCCCCGCGGGTTCAAGAACGCTAGTTGCTAGTAGGGAAGGTCCTTGTGAACGTGGGGGCGTCATTCTCAGGGAACTGCGTGTGTGAGGCGGCTTTTCGAGGTGAGGCTGGCTCCCTGGCGCTTTCTTCTCCGTATTGTCTATCGTCCACCTTCCATGTCTGATTCTCCATCGCTGCTCAGTGTCCCTTGATTTCGATAGTATGGACTATGGACTATCTTTGTGGTACCTGGGCGTCTGCTGCGCAAAAATGATTAAAGATAGATGAATCATCAAGGGAGAGGGAACGAGGCGGGAATGGGGAGTGTTGTGTAATGGAGCGAGCGAGGGMGTGTCGATGCAGASAAGAGAAAGACGGTTAGGGGATGATGTGTTGAAGAGGGGAGAGAACGAACGGGCTGTAAGTGGGCGAGAGGACAGATAGGTAGACTGGGACGATAGAACACAGTTT